GTCTCGGGCAAGGGTGGGTGGGGGGGGGGGCACGTTAACAAACCAGGTAATGTCCGGAGGGCAGCAAACTCGCGTCTTCGGTGCTTCCGCCGGGGCCATCAAAGCTGGGAAAACCGAACAAACTCGGTTAGGCGGCCGTTACAGGGCTGTGTGTTCTCTTGCGCGTATGGTCCGCAGTTTCGCACAATATCCTCCGTCTTCGCACTCTCATCTGCTCTTGTTTGATCTATCCTCTTCTCTTTGTCTTTCATTCTCCCTCTCTCTCTCTCTCCCGTTCTCTTGGAATATTTCGAACTTGCCGTTGCGGAAGACCGTTTTCACGCCTCGACGCGAACGAGGCTGATTCAGGACATCACTTGGGTTTTTCGTATTTAAGTTTCAGAGACTATAGTTACGCGGTCAATCTTATTCATCCCAAATACTTGTATTTTTTTTTTTTTTTTTCGTGCAACATGTCAATTACTTAGATGCAGCAAAAGTTTTGTTTAAATATTGGCTTACACAAAAGAATCGAAATTATTTGAAGAGAGAATCAGCCCCACCCGGGTCATTTGTTCAATCATCATCTCGATTTTTCGTCCATACTGCACTTATTTCGCGTAATGTACAAGTACCAACGTTACACATGCAACATAGTTAAAAAGTTGGTGGACTTTACCGTAAGCGAGTACTTATAGTTTTATTGTAATATAATATTATGTCTAATGAGTCAAGTACTTAAACTAGGAAATATGACGTATAAATAAAACTAAGTACTACAAGCCCTTGGACAATCAATAGCATTACGTAATTTCGTTATTAGTCCTGTAGAAATCTGAGGTGGGAATGCAAGCTCGTAAGTATGTAAGTATATCTCTTTTACCTCCCGTCATCGCTTTCACATACTTCATTTAATTTGATTATGTTGCTTTGTACGAAATCAAACAATATTAAGTTTGTGTATCCTGCTACGTCTATAACACCATATAGCTATGTACTATGGTTTTTTTTTGTTTCATTACGATTACTCGTAGGTAGGTCTATTATTATTGTTATTGTTATTGTTTTTATTATTATTATTATTATTATTATGCGTGTCCCTGTGGGAACGATATAGACACATGTACGTAGATACCGATGAACTAACGCAAAAAAATTATACCTACGTATACGACGACGCAGCAGCAGTGCAAGCATTGAGTTGTCGAGTCGCCGTAGTACTTGTGAACAAGTACCTATAAATATCAAGCGGATTGATGATCCTTTGGATGATATCCTGCATCATGGCGCGGTGGTTCGAATTATATTTTATATATACTTATATAGGCATGCCAAATTATTGTTGTATATCATATAGCAGCAGGTACAGACGAGAGAGAGAGAGAGAGAGAGTACATCAACGCGTGCGAGAAAAAGATCTGTGAAGAACGACAAGTGTAGTGCGCCGGTGCAGCCGAGGCAGTGCCGATTAAAAGTAGGGTCTACCGAAGTAGAGAGTAACTAGTAGGTAAGTACAATATATAATATTACGGCACTGTATGCCCGTTATTATCAAGCGCGTAATAGGGCCTTTGCACCCCTCGTTGCACCCTACCTCGTTCTACAAGCGTTGGTACGTGTAGGTATTATCGCGTTCGAAGCAGAGCAAAGAGGATTCGCCCGAGGCCGAGCAGGTTTTTGCCGAGTCGGAAAATCTTTGAAAGCGCGGTTTATTATGACTATAGGGTTTTATCTCTGGTTACCTATACATACGTATATATATATATATATATATATATA